TCAATGTGAAGGGGAGGAGGTGCATTCACCCCGAGTGGTGAGAGGCACGGCGGTTGTTGTTTGGCGCGGTACAGCAGCCAGTGTAGGCGAGAGCTTGCGAGGAAAGAATAACGATGGTTGTATGGTAGGAGATGCATGGCCGGCCACTGGAGCAATGCCCCGCTATTAGAAGGCGCGATGCGGTGGAATCAAGATTTCCCGGTAGATAGATATTAAGACCTCGCAAAAAATGAAGCGCGTAGGCGTGCGTACGGTGCGAAGAGCGCGAGCGTGTCGATCCGTTTCGGTTTAGCGGCCATGCGGATCTAGAGTTTCGGAGGGGATGTGTGATGTCACCTTCCAGCGGCAAGCATAATACGGTCCCCCCCGCCCCCGCGCGCCGCGTAGACGACGGGCTGAAAATATGTGGAATGCAGAAAAGGCCTTTGTTTTTGGCGACAAATGGAACGCGACAAATACTTCTGCTTGTAGCAGTGTTGGTCGGACCCACACAAAGTGCTAGAAAAGGGTCGTAAGAGTTTCTGTGCCTTCTCTGTTGATTACGTCACACGGGGCCACACTTAACATCACCCCCTCCGCCCCCTATCCCTGCAGCACGCGGACCCCTGTCTACGGGCGATCCGGCGACCCGCACCCCACCTTCTGCGCCGCCCACAAGCCGCCGGGGTACGTGGATATCAAGAACCCCACGTGCCGGGAGCCGACCTGCTTCCGGCAGCCCAGCTTCGGGTCCGCCTCAGACAGGAAGGCCACCTACTGCGCCAGTCACATGCTGAGCGGGCACGTCAACGTCCGCCGCATGCTGGCGTCCTTCAAGTCGGCCGCGTCCGCTAGCAGCAACGGCGGCAAGAAGCGTTAGGCGAAGAAGGAGGGAGAAGCGGAGGAGGGAGACCTTTTTTTTTTCGCCCGGAGGATTCCCTCCGGAGCTAGAGAGTGCTGTTGTTAGGGCGGGGCTGGAGGGAGAAGAGGGGGACAAATCATTTTTTTTTTTATCATCCACCCCTTTCGCCGTGAAGGAGCGCGGGAGAGTGTGTGGCGTGGCGTAACCGAAAAAGAGATACTTCGGTACCTATTTAATCGTGGGATAACAATGAGGCGTGTGCCTGGCTGACGCCGGCGGGAGGGGGGCGGGGGCGACATTTCTGACAGTCGTTTTTTCCTGGGCGGGCGGGTGTAAGGGTAGATGAATAACGTTTGTTGTCGCTCGGGTGTTCGGCTCTACTGTACGCGTTTCTACGCTTGTGCTGTAGTGCGCTCGCCCGGCTTTGGTGCACACGTGTGTCGGCCTTTGTCCGTGTCATGCAGTAGCTGTTCGCTTTCAAGTGTTATCGGGGGGGGTGGAAGGATGTACATGTGTTTGTGATGGGCGTCTGCAGCGGGTATTTGTCTCGCTTGCTCGCTTGGTGTTTCGCATCCCGATTCGACAGCAGTCAATCAGTCGTCTCGCCCTGATTTCCTCTGCAAAAGTGATGCTGCATTGATCCACAAGGAAGGCCTGTATCATAGGGGTTCTGTATCACAGGCTGAATTTTTGGGGATGCACGTTACACAAGGTATTACCGGGTGTTCCGTGCCCATCCTCGTGTTGTGGCCGGATGCCACCGCGGTAGTGTGGCATCGTACATGACGAGGATCTCCATTATTTGCTTATTGTCTTGTGTGTTAGCTTATTCGATCGATGGTTATGGTTACAAAACATGTCATTCGTGCAGTCCCTGTTGAGTGTTGTGGTTGTCCGTTTTAGCGTAGCGATGCCATCGATGAATACGGTATTTTTTGTCTCATTTTTCCCGTGGTTGTTTTCCCATTTGTTGTCTGGATATATTTCCGGTAGAGCACGGCCCCCGCCAGCTCCGCACCGAAGGCGCCTAGAAACGCGGTCGCCTCATTCAAGCTTTGCGTGTACCATACCGTCGGCAGCAGCCAGGGCGAAAACGTTCAACGCCTGTGACCGGTGCTCTGGCGAGACGCTGCCAGTACAACGTACATTCGACTGCTGTTGTGCATAAATGGTGCGGCCAGCGCCGCGGGGGCGCGAGCGCGCCCTTGTTGGTTAATTACTCATGTCCGGTGCCAGCGTGGCTTGTTTGTTGTGTGGGTTTGCTGTTCCTTTCGCTTCCGGACCCTCGGGGCTTTGAGGGTCGTCGTTGAGGTGTTACTGCGAGGAGAGGTAATCACAGCATCGATGTCGTTTTATTTCATGTGTGTGAAGCCTCGAGAGTCGCGGAAGACCCCAAAAAAACAAAAAAACAAGTGAGTGAGTGCGGCGCGCGCGAGCGCGCGCAGCCGTACGCGGAGTGGTTCGGGTTGAATACCCTGTATTTTTTCGCAAGTGTCATATGCATGGTAAGCGCAGACTATCCCGTTGTTGTCTTGGTTGTTTCGCTGGTTTGGGTGTGGGAGACGGAAAGGGTTTCACTCTCAAGGTGCATAGGGCAGCATGCATTCTACTGCTGGACCAATATTTTGTCGTAACTTAAGAAGTGGTTCCCAGTGGGTATCGATGGGACTTTGTTGAAGGTTGTCGGCTTAGCCCGCCATTTTCGTGGACGTGGGCGATAAAACGCCAGGCGAAAATGATCGCCGTTCGTACTATTATGTGTTGGGCGATACTGCGTGAAGTATGGTTAGTCTATAACTTAAAAATCAGTCAAGGGTGGGAGTGCCTCGAGTATACCCGCGCAATAACCTGCATTTTTGCGAGTTTGGCAGTCGAGTGGTATCGCTACCGGGTTGTAGTTGTTCTTAATGTTATCTGTCTCGTATTAATGGGTGTGCCTGCCAAAGGGCACATCATGTTTTGCGCTTGGAGGAGGTTCTGGGGAAGTCCTGAAGTTTGCGAGGGGGGGGGGGGGGGGGGGGGGTCGT